CTGGACTAGGGAGGTCTTCCCTTTTCAGGGGTCTGCTTCGTCGCCTAACAGGACCTGCTGGGGTCTCCCTGGAGACTGACCCCTTCCTTGGCTGCCTCTGATTGGCTGGCCTGCCAGGCCTCTCAAGTGTGCCTGTGGCTTCCGTCGGGGCTGCAGGGAGACACACAGGTCAAAGTCACAGACGTGACCCTGCATCTGCATACTGATGCAGGACAGTTCTACTCTGCACATATGCGCAGCAAACACTGGCTTCTCCATGGCCAGCTGGACCCAGGAGCGCTGTGCCCAGCACCTCTGCTGGAAGCCAGGGTCTGCTCTGGGGGAGGATACCGCCATGACCACGGGGAACTTGTCATCACTGGAGTGAGCCATGCTCTGGCAGGCAGCCTGTATCTCCCGCACTGTGCCATGGAGGTCAGCGAGGTCGCTGGTCAGGACCCGCTGGTTCACTGTGGGGAGAGAGAGAGAGGTTTCATGGGGGGGCACCCCCTCTGCTGGCCCAGGAAGGTAGTGACCATGCACCCACTCACCCCTCTAGCCCTCAGCCTACCTTTGGCAGCGAGGGGCACGGTGGGCAGGTCCTGAGCAAAGCCCAGGAGTTCTGGGAAGTGCTCGCTCAATGACTTGGCCAGGATGTGCAGGAAGGTGGACTTCCCGTCCACTGTCTTGGTGGAGTTGAGCTGCAAATAGGCCCCGTCCGAGGTCCTCCTCAGGGACCCTGCCACACTTCTCCTTGTCACAGGGCCCAGGGCCTCCCAGAGGGAGACACTGGTTCTGGCCTTTGACACTCTCTTTCCAGCACCTCCCCTCAGGCTCTTCCCCCTGCCCCCCCTCCCCAGGCTCTTTCCCATTCCTTACTCAAGACTCCTACCCCAGAGTCAGGGGTCCCAGGGCCTTTGAGACACTACCACCACCCCACCCCCCGCCTCCAGGAGCCAGGCCTAGGCTTCTCTGACCTCCTGTATCCCGCTCAGAAGATTAACACCACTACACTGGCAGGCCGGATGACAGCAGTGCTGGTAGAAAAGCCCCAGGGGCCTAGTACCTACTAAGTGGGACTCCGCTCTCCCTGCCCCCATCCCATTTTTCCAGATATTAAGACAAGGCTACCAGGAAAGAGTCCTGATGGTATAGTGGGCTACAAGTTGGGCTGCTGGCCCAAAGGTCAGCAGTTCGAAACCACCAGCCACTCCTTGGGAGAAAGAGGAGGCTTTCTGTTCCCATAAAGATTTCCAGCCTTGGAACCCCACAGGAGCAGTTCTGCTCTGTCCTACGGGGTTGCTGTGAGTCAAATCGACTTGATGGTAGTGAGTTTTTGAGTGATAAGGCTTGGCTTACAGAGCCCTGGTGATACAGTGGTTAAGTGCTCAGCTGCTAAGCAAAAGGCTGGTGTTTCAAACCCACCAGCTGCTCCTTGGGAGAAAGACGTCGGCTTCTGTAAAGACGATAGACAGCCTTGGGAGCCCTCTGAAGCAGATCTACTCTGTCCTCCTGGGCCATCAGGAGTCCCCTGAACTCCTATCATAAGGGCTGGCTTTGGGAAACCCCTACCGCCCCCACATCCTGGTGTCCTCCCACAGCCCTGCTTCTTCCCAAGATTGAGCCAGCCCTTTCTGCAGAGCTTGCTAACAGTTATTAGATACTGCGGCCCCTTCCTACCTCTGTCAGGAAGTTGATCTTGAAGCCGGTGGTCTTGTTCGCCCTGGGCTGCCCGTCGTTGAGATAGTTGCCCATGGCTAACACGAACTGTGGAGAGACAGGTGGGTGGGGCCAGCCCAGGTCCTCACCTGGCCACCCGGACCCCCTGAGGGCTGTCGCACAGGCCCTCTAGCCCAAAGGGCAGGGAGGTGCCTGCAGCGGGCCTGGAGGGGTGAGCCCGGACCTCCAGGATCTTGGCGAGCTTGCGGCTGTTCTTGAGCTCCAGGGACGCCTGGCGCAGGCATTCCAGGCTGCCTCGGATCTCCTCCGTCTTCTCCTGCAGGGTGGCCTGGAAGTGGAGGCTGCGCAGGCGGGTCTTGTACTCGGGGACGGACAACATCTGGCGCGGGGCGAGGGGGAGGGGGGCCGTTTCGTGCCTGCAGGGCCAGGAGCCCCGCTGCCCCACCACTGTCCTTGGTAACTGGGCCCCTAACCCAAAGGTGGGAATTCAAATCTACCCAGGAGTACCTCGGAACAAAGGCCTGGCATTCTACTTCCAAAAAAATTACCCACTGGAAGCTCTATGGAGCTCAGGTCTACTGTCAACATATCTGGAGCTGTTTCATGAGTTTATTTCCTGCATCCTAACTGGTGGCATAGTGGGTTACACTGGGCTAAAGTCAACAGTTCAAACCAACTAGCCACTCAGAGGGAGAAAGATGAGGCTTTCTGCTCCTGTAAAGATTTACAGCCGCGGAAACCCACAGGTCCTGTAGGGTTGCATCAACCTGATGGCAGGGAGTTTTAAAGTTTGACTGGAGGTGTGGTGAGGGCAGGGGTGTCTTACGTGTCTTGCTCCCTGTGTGCTCCCAATGCTTAGAAAGAGCCCTGATGGTGTTGGGCTGTGAACTACAAGGTTAGCAGTTTGAAACAGCCGGTCACTCCTCAGGAGAAAGATGAGACTTTCTACTCCCATGAAGCGTTAGTCTCGAAAACCCACAGAGGCAGTTCTGTCCTGTCCTACTGGGTCACTGCGAGTTGGGAGTTGGAATCGATTCAATGGCAGTGAGTTTGGCTTTCTGTTGTGGTTGTCCTATTTTATCTTGGGGCCTGGTATCAAATACCTCTCCTTGAACTTGCCCCCAGCAGGCCCTGTGCTCGGAAGACAAGGAGGCATAACAGGGACTTTACAGGAGGGGCACCTGCTGCCTTGGTCCAGAAGCAGTGGCCTCCAAGCTTTCCTTGTTTAGTGTTAACTGCA